TTACACGCTGCCAGCTAAATTATTTAAATGCAATCAAAACAGATTACAAATCAGACTTCTTAGATCAGGATTCGAATTCTGTCAGGTCCAATGCTTCTAGGGGCTACTGAAGACTTAAGATCGGAAGCAGGCAGCACCGTCCGCTAGCAGGCTATCTGAAGAGAAAGAAAGATTTTAGAAACAGCAACAATACATCAGAGAAAAGGCAAAACCAGTAACAATAGACAACGCAAAGAAACTAACAAAATCAGTTAAGTATGGCTTTCTCTATCACGTAATTAAATTGTGAATAAATATGCTACTTGAACTGACATCTCCCGTTATAAACTCATAGCCCAACTCTTTCTACTTTGCACTACAGCGCATATCATTACAACACGATTCAGAAAATCCATGGCTCCAGTTCCAAGACAGAGCTCGTCATCCAAAAGATGGAAGGGCACAACTATTAAAGTTGAATTTTCTCACAGGTGGCTTGCCACATACTCCAGATTCAATGATGGCTTTGCACTCTTTGAACCTGAATAGAACTACTTAAATGATAATAAAAGAACGTATTTAGACAAGCTAACATTTAGATAATGCTTTGGTAAGTCACAAACGGAACGACAACTCATAACACGTTCTTTAATTCCGTTTGCAAGCTTCAGTCAAAAAAATGCCTAGATCCGACTGGAACTTCTTTTTAAGAACACATGCTTTGCTGAAAAGTATTACAGGCACTTTAAATTATTACTTGATCATGTTGAATGGTCATTCATATTATCCAGCATCTTGATAAATGCAATGACAGACAGATCACAGACAAATATGGTTATTTTTATACGTCTTTTATGCAATATGTATTTTTGTGCAGGTTAAAAGCAGAAGTGACGGGACTGAATCCTGTACCCCAAAGATTGTTTTCCATGCACTTAGACGTTTTGTCTGCGACAGCCCAAGGTTGTTCATATTTCCCTACATAGTATCAGCTGAAATACGTGACTTATGCACTTCTGTCATTTTTGTCTTAAAAAGTGAGATTCTCTGGCGATGCTCTTCCAGCAGTAAAAATTAAACTGTGAACACCTACTCTTGCATTAAATGACATAGTTTTGTTGTTTTCTTTACCTTTCATTACGTATGCTAAGGGCTAGTTGAATTTGTCTGCAGATTTTCTATGTAGTGAGAAACTCATTTGTTTTATGCTCACCATAACCACTAATCGGTCACAAAAACAAAACAGCTGTGCAAATCATTTGATATTTTAAACTGTAGGTCTCGCAATTACCCCTACCCATTATTACAGCATACTGTGTATTGTTGTGCGACCAGGATTTCGGGCTTAAGGCACGTATATTCCTCATTTGTTGCTTCTATCCTGTCAGGTTTTGCACTTAGTTAAAGAGCTTAGTACTGTATAAAACTTTTTACCTTCCACGGTGCCAATAGTGGAATGCTCTTAGCCTTTGTCGATTTGAAAGGAATCGAATTCTTCTACGCCTTTCCCCGTAGGTTTCAAAGTTTCCATTTTCGCAAACTGACCCTTCCTCCTTGTTGCTTTTATTGTTCTCCCATGATTGTATGCGCATCTGTAGCATTCCTGGTTACCAACATCACTGTTCTGTTGTTTATTCACAGTTTAAGCTTTTTATCTCACTATTTTCAGCGGATAGTTCAAATTCCTGTCTTTCCTTCGGTCAACGTACGTTGCTGGTCTTAAAGACTGTTAGGTAAAAAAGTACTATGTGCAAACTTATGCGTTTGAAACAGAATGTTTATTTTTTAGAAAAATTCCAATCGTTTCGGTTTTAACATCATACCTGATCAAATCAGCATTGATTATTTAGTGTACGTTTGGGAAAAAATCACAATACGTTTGGGAAAGTATCAGCAATGTAATTAAGACCTCGATCCGAAAATCAGACTGCCTACCCGTACATTCGTACTGCCCATCTGTACAGCCTTCTCGAAGTCATGAGACATACCCATGCTGAGTTCCAGTCTTGTCAGTGGCCAGTTCTTCGCTTTGCAGACACGTTCACGAACGTTGAACAGAGTTTCGAAGTCAGCATTAGGGGCTGCGTCGTTGCTGGTGCTCTGTTCATAAGAGCCGATGGTCATGAGGCCGGTGAGTTCCAACGTGGGGCAAGAGGTGGTGATGAAGTTGCACACGGTTTCGGCTTCATCCGGCTTGATGCCTGACTTCTGCTCCTCGCCGCTTGTGTTCACCTGAACCATCACTTTCAGAACGTTTTCGAGACTCCCTGCCTTTATCAGCGCTTCGTTCAGCGTTTCGGCAATTGCCGTGCTTTGAATCGTCTCGATCATGTACAGATTGTTCACAGCCCGCAAGAGTTTGTTCACCTTGTTGCGCTGCAGGGGACCGATCAGATGCCACTTGATGTCCGGACACTTGGTAACGATCGACTCGTCGTTCGACTTCGTCAGCAACTCCTTGACGTAGTTCTCGCCGAAGTGCCTCTGACCGTTTTCGTACGCAGTGATGATCGCCTCGACCGGCTTCGTTTTGGATACGGCCACCAATCGAGGCATCCTCGTCTTCCTTGAGACCTCCGTAACTTCGTACGCCGCACTGATACGCTGCAGCACCTTTTTCAAGTTTGCCGCTACCACGACTTCCATGTGTCGTTCTGCGCACTTCGATAATATATGACAGTAACTGTGTCAGCACCTCGAATCAGCCATTCTTATTATCACTGGTATTGCACTGAAACAATCAAAGTAATTAATGTAATTCTGAATACTTCGAAAATGAGTTTCAAACTTACCCATACTGCTCTCTGCGGTTGGTACCTGGCGGATCTCTTCATACAGTAATTTACCCCTCCCTGTGGTAGAAAATGCTACCTGAAGATCTCGTAAATTGTAGGTTTTTAGCACAGAGAACTATTACATTATCGATAAGCTTGTATTTGATACGGCTTTAAGGGATATTTATTTCTGAAGATCTTTACTTTAGTACTTCTAAATTTGAAGAGTTAGTGTTTGTACTGGAACCGCTAATCAGCTTTTAGTGTAGTACATGTGTATACTTGTATCGTAATTTATTTGACTTACTAAGTTAGCTGTAATTTAAAGCAGATTAGTCGGGAATTTAATAGAAGCAAATAGGCTATTTTTGCACCATGGTATTTCAACAGGAAAGAAAGCAAGAAGCGATGCAATGGTGCTAATGGTGTATAATGAGAAAGAGTTCTTTTCTTTAAACTGCATTTTCGCCGTTTCAATCTATCATTATTATTTTTAATGTGAAAGCAAATTTAGTTGTTAATACTTGTTGTTGCTTAGCTTTACAGTAGCACGGTGAAGTAGCGGTAATGGAGTGCCAGGTTCGAAACCTATTTTAGCAGCAAATTCCCTTGTGCAAGGAATTCTCCACATGTTGCTTCAATGAAACCGGTCGAGAAAGAGGTAGAAAGTCATATGCTTGGGAACAGCGAGCTCAGCATGCTCTTATGGTGTTGTTTTACCAAAATGGGCGAATATTGCTGCCATCGTCCCTGATGCTTAGATCAGATAAGATTAAGTTTATTCGTTTGGATAATAAAGTTATGATCAGCACAAAGTGGTATTATTATGTCAGTGAGTTAAATGGCAATGTTGAAAAAATAAAAAACAATCTTTATCCCTCTGAACGTGGTGACGCGAAGCTGTATACAATGATTGTTTTTCCAGTTTTTCTGAAACTGGGCGTCTTGAATAAGAAGGGCAGAACTGACCTACGGTACAATATTGTACGTCATTTCATGGTACTTGTTGAGCTTCTGGTTCCAAATTGCTCTGAAATCGCCTTCAGAAACTGAAAAAGTTCGCCCTAACCGTATAGTTGCTTCGATGATTACAGAAGCTATTCGATTTCAAAACTCTGCTCTACTAATGTTCCTGATGCGACTGAGCAGCAGAATTGCACGACAAACCATGGCATGGTCGTTTTTTCGGAGTTCGTTGACAACCATAGACCCGAAATAAATGATCAGCGGCAGAATCAGCCGAAAACAAACAATCGAACCATCTGAGTCGAGGAGCTGAGAATCTCAGCAGCCTAAGCAGGTGGTATGAATTCTTGCATACCTTGGCGAACACTGTTGTGACGTTTGAGTTCACTCTAACGGGAGTCCAAGTATATGTCAAGAAATTTAGTAGTGCGGGACGTTTAATTTTCCATTGTTATTGATTGTTCGACTGTTGATGGAAGTCTTAGATTGGATGTTTTTCGTGATGCATTTCAGCTGAGCCCTGTTCTTCTGGTTGATTTCGAAGCCGCACTCCTTAACCAATTCTGCTGCTTTGTTCAATACATCTCGCAGTTTCGTTGAATCAGGTGCGATTATTACTATAGTTTTGCCATGTCTGACACATGCGACAAGGCTCACGACTTGAAACAAGCTGACCTATAAATTAAATAACAGAGGAGACAATACTGATCCTTGTACGACTCCAATATTATTCGGTAACATCAAAGAACTACAGTTTCCAACTGCAATAAACTCTTGCCTATTTGAAAGATAATTAGCAAACCACTTAAGGAGGTAGAAAAAATAACAGGCTTCTGTAGATCCTTAAACAGGGTACTTTGTGGCTTTGTGCCGATGAGAGGTGAATAAATAGGGTTCTAACTGCAAAGCTACCTAATCCAAAGTTGTGGCAAAGAGATCCGTGTAACAGGCGATGGCGTCAATTGTGGAACGACCTTGTGTAAATCAGAATTTAAATAGTCTTTTAACCTTTTGATTGTTTTTCAGTTATAGGTATCACCATAGTTTCTAGTCATTTCTGCGGAATGGAAATCACCGTGATAGGGTGACAGTCCTAAGATGTAACTGACATTTGTGTCCTTTGTACAGGAGCGATTCACGCCATATGCCGATTGCGGTTTCCACAACAGATGTTTATCGTATTCCGTTTCAAATCTTTTGCAATTACTTGTTTGCAGGTTTTACACTTTCTTTATCTTAATCTTTTATTTATCGCGTCCTAAATAGTATAAATATTTACACGGTATCAGATTGATTTCTCAAAATTCACGGCAGTGCCGCAGTGAAACTTCTTGTTCTTGTGAAAATGAATTGCGCAGCCAGAACCTCATACTTGCGAATACAATATTCTTATAACAGTTTTTCTTAATTTAATTCAATTCTTAATTTAACAGTTATTCTTATAACAATATTCTTATCCGACTTTGTACTTACAGCGCATCTAATTCACTTGACGTCAGTTTCTTTAAAAACTTTGCAAAAAGATAATTCAGATTCTTGAACTTCGATGTTAATGTGATGCAGACTTTGGACCAAGCTATGAGAAAGAAAAGGATTATAACAAGACAAAATGAACCATAATGCGCATCTTTGACACGAATAAAAGGATAGCACGCTCTTGAAACACTTACAGATAATTTTGAAACCTCTGCGTACTGTGGATATGATGGTCATTATCGATGTTTTGTTCCTGAAAATAGCGTAGAACGTTTTATCAATACACAATTCAACAATATGATCAATCGGATGATTTATTAATACTGACGTTTTGGCATGTTTCTTACGTATATGGATTATATTGTTTATGTAGTGTAAAAATAAACCGTATTTCATGTTGTTTTCAATGCGACCATCAGTACACTGACAAAGTACTAAATCTTCAAATATTTAACATGTTCTCTTTTGATTCCAAATTGAAACGGCCTAATGGCACCGTCCTCTTGCACCGTTCTGTTGACTTAGGGAACCATTTATTCAGCTCACAGATCTAGGGTATTTGAGCACCTCCAGTGCATGGATGCGAAACCGTATCATTACGCAGGGCTGCGCGAAACCTGTTCATGTCTTCTATGATCCGTAGGCTTATTTATACTTAAAAATAACCATGGTCTTATGGGTTTACTAGCATGCTGCTAGTTATCGACACCGCCGCTAATAGAAATGGCGTTTTTTTAGAGGGTGCGTTGAAGCTTGGTAGTGGCGCCATCCCCTTGCTTCTAGTTGTCTAGGGGACCATTTCAGCAGGCCACGTTTCCATCGTTTTTGAGCACCCGCAGTGCATGAATGCAAAACTACATCACTAGGCACTTCAGATATTTGGTTTCTAGTTTGACTTCTGTTCTATCAGATTAAAAACGAAAAGCACTGCTGTATTTTCGCAGAATTATAATATTTGTAGCGACATCGGATATTATCAAAATTCTGGACAGGTTGGTCCGCTTAAATTGGTTGTTTCGTGTGATACCTACGGCTCTTGTTAACTACTGAAAAATAGTCATTGCAAGCAAAAACATAGCATAATGGTGATTAATAGAAAAGCAGAACCCCCTAGTGATATATCTAACAGTTTAAAAGTCACCTTTCTTATTAAAAAAAACTGTTCAGTTAACTGGATTTTGAAGGAGGAAGTTAAACAAGAAAAATTAAAGGTTTGTAATCATTGGGATGTTGGTCTCTTTCACATTTCATGCATATGAGTCCCTTGTGGCGCCCTTCATTTCATGAAGTTCATGGGGCAGTGTTGATCAGTGTTTGTATGGTATAGGCCAGGTGCCTTTTTAAGGGCAGAATCTACAGCTATGTGACATGCATAGCGTGTAGTCTTCCGTTTCCTTCCCATATAGCGTATTCGTATATCTACCTCAGAAAGGAAAAAGGCTAGTGACCCGACCTGATCTCGAACCCAGGACCTTTTGGTTTTAGGGGTGATGCTCTACGGGTTGAGTAATCCTGCTGGATTAAACGGGAAGTGAAACGTTGGTTGAAAGTTTAAGCTGTTGTAGCAGACCTTACAGGCGTTGTTAAAGGTTATGTTACAACATGTGATCATTGACGCAATAACTGCTGACAGATTGGGCCCAGTTGATTCTTGACGCCCCAACTCGATCGAGAAGTTCCCACTATTACTCCGAGTGAGGGACGTCATCGCACAGTGATGACAGTTCTCGCGGTATCATCTTAGGCTGATCGATTTCGTGGACCAATCATGGCAGCGCCACGTGGGAAACATTCTGGAGACCGAATGCGGCTTGGCTCTAGCGTTCAAAGAACATGTATAAAATAGCCGGTCAATAGTTCAATAACTCTTGTTTTGCGGTGTTTGTAGAGTCATTTGTTATGGAAAGTCAACTTGCACTATTGGGCAGAGATGCGTTTCATTCTCACATGCAGCGCAAATCGTCAGAGGGCTGACGGGACGCATCCTCCCTGCAGTTAACCCGCTCGGCGATCTGTTACTCTGGTAGCCTTTATCTATGATAAACTCGCTGCTCTGATATCTTTGATATTTGTGATATCTTTGTTATTTTATTTGATTGTCTCGTCAAAAGTAGCTTTCAATTGAAGCATTAATTTCTGACCTTTTAGTTTCTGGAACCGTAATTACTTTGTTGAACTTCGCTAGTCACTGGTCTTCATGTTTTGCTGCTTGTCTCCTATCCATTGTCACCTTGACAAAACGGTGGTTTTAGCTAAAATCGACAGCTGTCGTTATCTTCTAGGTAAAAGATGTAGGAGTGATACTGATCGGCTGACGATCATCACTTTATGAATTGGTTATGTGCAACGTGCTCTTATGTTAAATCTTTTGTGCCTCCGATTGACTCTGATAATTCTTGACAGCATAAATCCAATTCCGTATTTAACTTT